CCTTATTCTCAGTAACTGCATTCAGTATATTCATTTAGTCCGTCATTTGATTAGTAGTTTTTTCCAGTTCGTCCGTTCACCTTTTGTTTAGCTCTTTATCAGTCTGTGAGGAGTTTAGTTGTTCTTTTTAGTCTGTCTGTTTTCTCAGCATTTAGCTTTGAGCTCTTTTGGTTAGTCGTTTAGTGTTTTGTTTTTTCTCTCAGTACTTAGTCTGAGCTTCTTTTGTTGTTCTGTAGTTTTTCCGCATTTTTAGTCTGAGCGCCCTTGGTTCGAATTTAGTTTTATTTTCCGTTTTGCATACTCAGCATTATTTTCCTGAGCTCCCTCAGTTCTTTTATTTTTCAGTCTGTCTCTCCATCTCAGCCCTTAGTTGAGCTCTTTGAGTTAGCGTTTGTTTTTTGTTTCTTCCTAGCCAGTCAGTACCTGGTGTTGGTTGTGCTTTTTGTAATTTTATTTTTTTTTTTTGCATTCTCTTGGTTGTGTAATAAATTGTTAAACTGCCTTGGTCTACCGTGTCTCTGTTGTCTGCGCTTGAGTCTCTGTCCTGCCCGTAACAGATAATGAGGAAAAAAATAGAAAATAAGGAGTCTGAAGCTTCAGAAACAGAGGGCCCTTCATACATTTTGAAACAAATGTATAATGAAGAAAAGTCTTGACTATGAAAACAACATTTTAGAGTTTGCATATTTAACAGGTTCAGGCAAGGTTCTGTTGAAAGCAGCAGAAATCATTAAAGCCTCGGTCACAACCAGCCGTACGGGCTCCTAGTCTGCGTCCAAATTTTGTGCAGAATTGCAGGTGCCACGTAAGTCCATTTTGTGACATTTCAAGGTCACATACAGCTCATAAGCACGTATGGAGGAGTTTGGACATGTTCAAAAAAATTCTATGAATTCTCTGCGAACAGTAACACCGCAAGTGTAACTTGGTGCCCCTGCCAGGAGTTTGCAAGTGAGACGTGCAGTTTTTAAGGTACCATGGGAAGAAAATCCATGGTGTAAGATTCACGTTGCACACAGTGAGGGAGCAAGTGCCCCTCGTGGGTCAAGTCCAGGCATGCATTCACAACTCAAGAACAAAGTGTGTACCAAGTACGCAGGTGGCAAGACAAACTCAAGTAAGTACAATACTTCTTCTACTCCTTTTCGAATATGTAGACCTAGTCCAGAATTGTGGAATATTTCGTTATATGATTTCATTTAATATATAAGTGTTCCTTCCCACTGTTGCGGACTCCTTGCGGACTGCTGAAGCTTATAGGGAATCCAAATGTTTTGGATTGTTGGGTGTTTCGTGTCTCTGCCTTTGTGAAGCACAATGAGATGACTTGTTGTTGTAAATATGCGCTATACAAATAAAATTGAATTGAATTGAATATTTATATATATGAAATATTAATTCTTTGTTTACTTGGTACTTGTCTTTACATATTCGAAAACAAATATTTGTCAACAATTTCCACGGCAATGACACGTTGCAATTAGCATCCCTGCTTGAATGGACATCTCACGTCACCTCTGCGACTCGCAAAGCAGACTTGCACATTTCTTATGCCTTTCTGACAGAGCTCTTTCAACCTTTCCTCTACCTCCACGACCTCCATGACACTCAAAATTCACAGAGGACATATGATCCCAAAAATCATGTGTCCAAGTGTGACCGAGGCTTAACTCAGATGTAGGAAGATGAAAATGAATTTGCAAACTGTAGACAGCAGAGATGGAAGAAGTATTCATATGCTTTATGAAAGTAGTACGTGATGAGGCATGTTCGTTGTTTTAAGACAGAAGACAAATGACTTCTCTCATTTATCGATGTTTATTCTAAAATGTCATATTTTTCTTGATCAAGGATCCAGCACTGGTTCTGAAAATCAAAGGCTGTTAATCTGTAACCAACTTCAGTGGATGGAGCTTCATGCAAATGTAAATATTTTATTTAGTGTGGTGCAAGGTGATTGGCTAATAAACACAGACATTTAATTTAAATGGTTCAACGTGAATGGTTATATGGTTGGGGAGAAACCGTAGTTTAAACTTGGCTCTCCCTTTGTTGGTGCACAGATATGTCCATATCTCTTGGTACATGATTGGCACAAGTATCATCCAAACTGCAGCATCCTTGCCCTGAAAAGAAAATCTAACACCTCC